AGTGTCTATCAAAGATCATTTGAAGGGCATATAGTTAGCACTCATAATGGCAGTAGTCACTCGCAGCAAAACTTATGGATCTGAATCTCAGTCTACTTCTTCAGCGTCACAACCCGTTATTTGCGCTACAGATGCAAGTGGGAAGATGAACTATAGTCAAATGTCTGTGCATGATCTCATTTCCAGCATTAGTGAGATCAACAAAGACCCGGTGATCTCAGAAATGCTTGCAGTGCTTTCTGAGAAAATCCCAAAAGATATCTCTGCCTCTCTAGCCGAGGAAAAGAGATCGCGCAGCATCGTTTTCGCCGGTATTAAGGAGAGTGAAGGAGATCTCCCTCCTTCCAAACGTCAGGCTCAACTGGAGCATAACGTTTCAGAGCTACTAGATGCTCTTGACGTTGAGTGTAAGCCCTGCGAGATCTTCCGCATGGGCAAGGTTGAGCCCGGTAGACCACGGTTAGTAAAGGTTGTGCTACCAACAGTGGCTCATTGGCGCAGAGCGTTGGGGAACGCTAGGAATCTCCGTCTAGTCGGCTTTTCCGATATTTTTGTGCGGCGAAGCATGACTAGGGAGGAGAGAAAGCAGGATTACGAGCTCAGGCAGATCGCTCATGAAAGGAATAAGGGCAAAAAAACAAAGGATGGGTCGTTTTCAGAGGTGTTATGCTCTGAGAATAGCCGAGTTTTCAAAAATAATTTAAAGAAGTTAGATTTATTCAAAGTTCTAGGTGTTGAAGATTTTGCCTGACAGAATCTTCAGCTCCCGCATCCAATACCTTTCCATGGTTTCTTCTTTTTTCAGGCCAGCAGCATACTTCGCACTTTTTCTTCCATAGAGGGCAGCCGACGTTTTTTTTGTGTCTTCTCCTATCAGGATATGCTAGCACTACCGTTCGTCTCATGTTCTATTTGCCTTAGACGACGTTTCCCCTATCTCACGGCTGCGGCGCATAACTTCGAGTCGTATCTGGGCTATTATTTTCGCACTAGTCTCAAAGATTCAATTTTAAGAGACTTTTTTGTCTGTGCTTTTTCCATCCAGTCACCCAGGCTTACCTGTAATTGAATATCCTTTTATGTCCACAAGTCGTGCAGTCAACAAGTATTCCGTTTGAATACTTGGGCCTAGGTCTTACGCCCTGGGTTCGTATTTAGATCAAAGAGGCACCTATTTTGGCCCGCCCGGGAACGACTACGGTCGGTTGCGTTGCCTAGGCTGACTTTGCACCTTACTGTACTACGCACTTAACAGTTTCGTTGAGAGGCCGATGCGCTTGATGCAGTCTTCTCAACCCTTCAGGTATACACGGGTGACTGATGGTGCCTTGCGTTTTTGGTGTCTTGCGTTTTTGTCAGTTAGCCGGATGGTTGCTTGCGTTTTGATCAACTGGCATGGAACTCTGGCTTCTTCATAATGACGACTCGTTGTCCTCAGCTTTAGCCGTCTAGTTAGGGGTATGTTGTCTGCCGGCAGTAGCAGTTTTGTACTTGGTTTCATTTAAATAATTGCTTGATGTGTTTTGTTTGTTCCTTCGTTTATGTTCGACTAACACGAGTTTTGGCTTTGTTGGGCGCACCAAAAGTGCAGTTTAAATAAAATAAAATAAAATAGTCACAACAATTCTTTTTTACTTCGCGTTTTCAGCAAACAATATTAAAGAATGAGGTCAAATCGACCTGTTGGCTTCCCTTGTCACTGGAAAAAGTAAAAAGTAAATAACTAAGGAAGCGTGCCTTTGCCTTTGCTATCACAGGAATCGAGAGCATACTCAATTAATTTTCCAAAAGAAAATGCGTCATCGGAAAACGAAGAGGTATTCGGCAAATTACCGTCCGCCTAAAATATATAACGCTGATATTTGTAAATAAACTTTTAAGAGAACAGTGCTTGACTAGCCTGCTTTGGAGGCTGGTACTCGGTCGGACGAACAGAAGCGCTGAATTTGGAATGCAGGAATTGCTGGCTTACGTGAGGAGGAGATGAGAATTCGAACCTGTACAAATATTAAAAAAACACAAGCATTTATAACTTCAATAAAGATAGCGTAGTGCTCACCCGCCAAGTTTCCACTCTCCACTACTGGCAACAAAGACTGAGGCAGGGTTGAGGTTATTGTGGGATAAAAAGGCCTAAAGTTTCGAGCAGTGTACCCACACCGGAAGCAATGCCGCGAAAAACGTGACTACCTTTGTGTGGAGGAAAAGAAGAGCTTCTAAAATGTGGTGCAGTTCAGATTGTATTTCATCAACTGATAAAGAACCCATGGCAAGATCAAGCATCTAGAAAAAAAAACAGAAACCTTAAAAATGAGAACATCTAAAATGTATAACAAGGAATAAAAGCACCTGTACACGCTCGGTAACTAAAGTCACATCACTAGCAGTGCAAGCTCCATCCAGAAACTTCAAAATATGTGGATGTTTGAGCTGTTTTAATAGCTGAAAAAGGGAGACGTTCCAAACAGAATTGTTCAATGAGGATTGATGACGGCGATGCACTTACCTTTATGCCATTTTCGTAATATTCCAAGGAACCATCGTTGCTGTCGAATTTCTTGAGGAAAATCGTACCTACAGGAAACATACGATGAACCGCCCTGGGTCAGTGGGCAGAAATGAAGGCATGCCAAGCAAACTCACAATGCAAGCTGCGATTCTTCACTGCCTGATGTATATGACTCCACAGCTTGTAAGCTTTGGCATCACGTGGAACAGTTTCTTTTACATCAACGATTTGCTGTTGTTTCCTTCCAGTACTTTCCTGTGCACCCATACCAAAGCCTAAATCATCGCTTCACCATTATGGAAAACGAGAACTGCCGAAAATTGCAGAAACACAATCGAATTTTCAACAATGTTGTATGTGATACAAACGATTTATCCTAGCTTTCTAGATTGGACAGCTTTGTCAGGCTCAGGATTTGACTTCATCGCTTCGCAAACGCTTGCAAATTTGAAAGATAATACAAAAAAGACGCTCATGTGTTGGGAGAGGGGGACATTTGAGTGAGTGAGCCATTACAGCATTTGAGGTTCTGTCCTAAAAAGAAAAGGGATTCTTCTTTCCTTAAGAAAGGATCTCGATATTTTTTTCAACGGCATTTCTCTCCTCTCCTGGGCTGAGTCCTAGTGGCCGATGTCAGACTTTGCGATTGGAGCGATTTGGTCAAGATGGGAGTAATGTGAATCGCGCGACCATCGCGCGAATCGCGCGATGGGCGCCATCGCTCCCGTTGTGCGGGTCACAGGCCGTTGTGGCAGGGAGCGATCAATCGCTGGCGCGCCCCCTCGATCGATACGTTGACTGAGGAGCTGCGCTGCGCTGCCGCAGCGATTCGCGCGATTCACATTACTCCCGTCTTGACCACATCGCTCCAATCACAAAGTCTGACATCGGCCAGTGTCACTTACCAGCGGTTCTCGAATACCTGTTTAGATGCCCCCTCTCCCTTCCACTGAAACGCTAAAAAAGCAGCTTTTGTCGTAGGGAACCATACCCGCATAAAGGTAGCAGTCGCAATAATTTGTTTCCGATCAAACATGAGAGTAGAGGCCGGACGCATAGTCGGTCGGACGACAGCAACGACTGCAAGTGTCGCACAGCATTGGGTGCGTATCGATCTGCGACACCTGCGGTCGTTGCTGTCGTCCGACCGCTGCTGTCGCAGATCGATACGCACCCGATGCTGTGCGACACTTGCAGTCGTTGCTGTCGTCCGACCGACTATGCGTCCGGCCAGAGATTTAAATAGTGTGACAGTGAGGACAGAACCCCAGAAACAATAGCGCGAGAAACCCTATGAAAAGAGGCCTTCATGATCCGGAGGCTAGAAACCAACGAAGTAATACAAAGTTATCCGACGTAAGCAAACCAGCCCTTTTGGCGCTTCGGCTGGGACCGTATGCTGAATGTTGGGGAGGGGATGGAGTCCCCGACGGTGGACGGACCACTTCAACTCGGTCCTTAGAACCGCCACAATTTGGTGCTTACCTCAGAACTAAGCCTTAAAGAGAGGACGGGTCCGTCCCCTCTCCAAGGCTTAGTCCTGGGGTGAGCAAACCAGCCCTTCTGGCGGAGCTGCTGGACCAGCTGCACCACTTGCGTCAGTACTCTCCTATCGTACCAACCGAGTTGAAGTAAACCGTCGACCGTTGGGGACCCCATCCCCTCCCCAACATTCAGCATACGGTCCCAGCCGAAACGCCAAAAGGGCTGGTTTGCTTTCCTCGTTTCGTAAGTATGCGTAGTGTCAGCAATCCTCGCTGGAGGAGGAGCATACTAAATTTTTGGGGCGGCCTAACTTCGGTTTCAAACTGTTAGGTTGTACTAGGCCTTTTGCTGCCAGAACATCCGCTATTCATTTTTCTGGGTACGTCTTAGACGTTCTTTTCTAATACGTATCTATCACCTGGCGCTTAGCCCGTTTTATCCCCATACTCAACTCCATTCGCTTATCCGCGCATTAAAGACGCGATTACTGAGCCGTTATTTGCTGGTGCTGGATGAAAGATGACACCAAATTCCGACTTCGCTAAACATGACGACTCATGAACGGAGAAAGTTAGTCACGTTCGCGGCGAGAAATGCATCGCTAGCCGACTGCTTCTGCCTATTTTCACACTACCGTTTCGATCAACTTCCTGTGACACAGAATACTTCGCGAATTCGTTCATATTTAAGAGCAAAAACCCTGACAAAGCGACTAAAACTTGAAAATCCTGAAAGCCTCAAGATACATGATTTGTCTGGAGATGGTATGTCTCAAATACTTCATACACAGCGCCATATTCAAATTTCTCGCAATGCATACTGCATACCTACACCACATCCAAAATAGCGCAACCACAGCCTCCTCTTAATACAAAATCATAACTTAGGAGTCACTCTGGATTCAGCTAGAACCAGATTAGGTTCTCTGATGGATCACATCCGAACGGAAAAAAACCGATCCAAATATATGCCCACTCTTCAATCTTTTTCGCAAACTCTTTCAGGCGCATACCCTGTGCCTAGGCGGTTGCAAAGAAAAAAAATACTGCTTCCAATAATAAGGCAATAGTGAAATGCACAAACATTTACACTTCAAAGTTAATGAAGCTTCTTCAGAGCTAATAACAAATGAAGCACTAAAACACCTGTGAAGATACTCGAATATTTTCGTTTGTTCAGTGTTGAAAACATCCCGACAAAACTTCTATCTTGGAAGTTTGGACGCTTTCTTTAGTATATGAAACCAAAAATGCACCCAAATGGCCGTTTTCAGCACAAAACAAGAATTTATTACGGATTCACCACTAATGTTAATTAATGAAGGCTTCACGACACAACTCAAGCTCGGGAAAAAAAGAGTAAGGACTCAATGACAGGATGACACTATAAAGAACAGTGAACTGCTGTTTTCACCAAAACGAATCGATTGTGGACAGCAGTGAACCCATGTTACTGAAGAATTTCAGCAACCTGAAGCAAAACCAGGACCGGACTATTGACACTGCAGACATTATACGAAGTTATACGACATAACACCATTTCTCAAACAGATTTTTATGCAAAAATCAAAACGAAATCCATGATTCTCGCCTATACACGACAACGAAGAAAGGCGAAACAAATGCAAGTCGAGCGCCGTTTATCTCCATGGGATCGTCGATTTCGAGACGATATCGAACCCATGCTTGCGGTACTCGCCTGTGTCCTCCTCACTTTGCCCGACAAGAATTTATCCGGCTGAGCTTTGATTACGCACGGTTCCACAACCTAATAAAAACCTCTCTCGGCCTAGATATTGCTACTCCACTATTCAATATTTGACCTTTGAGTTTTCCATTGTAGTAGTTATATTGAAGACCTTGCCACTTGATACACTAGCGCACGTAATGAGATTACCCATCGTGGTGATTTGAGATCAAATGCTATTTATGGTCAGTTGCACCAGGCAACTTCAAAGCGGAAACGAGACAAAACAACTGAACTGAAGCGCGTGAATAATGATTTGTGAAAATCTTATGCAATATGCGTTCAGCCCCTCAAGAGGCCGCGTATAACCAAATTTCAATGGAGCGAAGAGCTGACGAACCCGGGAACTAGCGATTTCGCGGAAGGGAATACACATGCATGGATCAGAAAAGCAGAATCTCCAATTCTGTAATTGTTTGGAATCACTGAAAAGAAGCATCTATCCCTTCTGGCCCTGATTTCCCCGATTAATACCGTAATACCTTTCACAGATTCGCCGACCATCCCAGAACAGAGTCTACTAAACCTGATAACCTGGACTTATAGTTCAAGTAGTTTTGGAGCTGTTCAAAGACTTAAAAATTGTATAACCAAACCCATCACGTTCCTGTCACTTTACGACAGAAAACCGTAATTTCTGCTCCGATCTTCGCAACAAGATTGAGAAGCTCCTCTGCAAGTACAAATGTGGTCTCACTGACAAAATGCACAGTTTTGCTCCGGGGTGGCATAAATGTACTGGAAGCGAATTAGCAGAGGCAAAAATTAGAGCCCTACCACCGCAGCTTGCGCTCAGTGAGTCTGCCGAAATCGGCTATTGTGCGAGTTTTTGAACGTTGCTGTTGAGGCTTCCGTCTTCATTAGACGGCCTGCCAACCTTGGCATGAGACAGGTAATGAAATTCTTTTATCAAGCTTGGTACAACATGGCTCGTGCATTGGCAGGTATCGAACCCCCCCCAGCCGACTTAAGGCCTCCACTTGCTAATCCAGCTATCGCGCTTGAACTGCCTTTTCGGTGAGCATACAGGACCCGGCTGTCCTGACTCATTTCTTTCACCTTCACTATCAATAGCTCAGTATGGGTCCTGGATTAAAGAACAACAGATTCAAAGATAGGTACTGGCAACTTTCACAGCGCAAACGTATTTCCATCAGTATCGACAACATGCGCAAAGCCTCACTCGTTCAATTCATTTTCACTTCCACACGATGATATCGATTAGCATGTAATGATGCTCCACAAAAATTACTTCGAATGCGCAAAAGTATCAAATCGTGAAAACACCGACAAATTTTCACACCAAGTAGAACACTCACTTTATTAGCTACAAAAACACCACCGCTAGTGCTTGACTATGAATTCGCAGTCTACAATAGAGTCCCACAGAAAAAAAAAGATCATAAATAGGCAAAACCTCAGTGTGAGAAATATGACCATCTACAAAAAAAAGAACACGTGTTTGTGTACAACGTCGACATACACATGCAAACCTCCAATTGCACTTGACACCGTCTCCGGTGATTTTACATAGAACGATAGCAAAACTTAACCCATCACCAATGAATGCGCATACAGTAGAAAGTCGATAAATTAAAGAAAAATAACTTTAAGATCAAAATAAATATACTACGCCAAAGCGAAACTGTAGCGACAATGGAATAGTCTTTTCTCGAATAAATAAAAACACAATAAACCCATTAGATGGGGAGCTCCATGGCTTTACGCGTTCTCACCACGCGAGTCACATACAGGTAGAAGAAATCTGCGTATAGAACAGTTGAACTAACACCAGCCACCGTCCGCAATAGGATCGAAGAACGACTCCGTGTAATATCTAAAAGTGTTGATGTGGAACAAGCACATAACCCATTACTATCAAGAGTTAAAAGAGTATGATATTAGATAAATTTATCACATTAAAAATGATTATTTACACGCAATCACAAGATCATAATGATCATAAATGCTTAACAGTTCGTAGCTAGCTACTCAAGCAACATCAAGTTACACTCTGAAGGGTTGAGCGACCTAATTAGATTTAATGATTTATTATCGGCATGATTAATTTTGCGCTCAAATTTTCAAGTGAATCATTACTTTCATGGGAACTAACGCTTTATGATAATGAAAGAACCTCAGACCGAAAGTTAGCCGCCGCAAAGAGACACATATACCTTTTGTGCTTCCGGAAGCTAGGTCGGAGTTTGTGTTGAATAAATCAACCGTGCCGACTGGATAACCGATGCCTGGGATGTTAAAGCCTAATGCATCCGATTTGCTGAGTCAATGTTGTGGATCGAGTCCGCTGGGCGTTTGAGCAACCGGACGGTGCCGCGATATCTCCCGAGTACACCTGAAGTCTTCCACAATATTTCTTCGCTGGCCACCAGTGTAGATCTGCCTCACAGGATTACCCAGATGTTTTCTGTAGAATTAAGATCCAAACTGCATGCGGGGCCCAATCCATAACATTGATTCCGTTGAGGTAGAACTGTTTAGCGGATCAGCTGCAGTGTATAGGGTGTTGTCGAGTACGAAGATGAAATGTTCGTTTAGTTTAGTTCCTTCGGCTGAAGACTAGTGGATCTTTTCTAAAACCCCTGCATCAGCTATGCTATCCTCCGGTACGTCTTATTGTTATCGGGAAAATTAAGGAACTCAATGAGCCTTGATTGGTCATTATAATGAAAGTGCCTTCCGTCCTGTAGCACCACCCTTTGAATCTCACTTTGCTCTCCTGTCCTTCCAGCTTACTCGAGTCGAGTTGTTCCATGAAGCTCACTCTATCAAGAGCCTTCATAGTTTTTTGCCCTTGAGTTGGCAGTTTTCTAAGGATC